GGACATGATCTTGTTCCTTTTGATGGCTGCATAGTATTCCATAGTGTATATGTATCACATTTTCTTTATCCTGTCTATCGTTGATGGGCATTTGGGTTGATTCCATGTCTTTGTTGTTGTGAATAGTGATCCTCACTTCTTTTTTTTTTTTTTTAAAGATGGAGTCTCGCTCTGTCGCCAGGTTGGAGTGCAACTGCATGATCTTGGCTCACTGCAATCTCTGCCTCCCAGGTTCAAGTGATTCCCCTGCCTCAGCCTCCCTAGTAGCTGGGACTACATGCGCGTACCACCACACCTGGCTAAATTTTTGTATTTTAGTGGAGACGGGGTTTCACCATGTTGGCTAGGATGGTCTCGATCTCCTGACCTCGTGATCAGCCTGCCTCGGGATTACAGGTGTGAGCCACTGCACCTGGCCAATCCTCACCTATAATAGAATAAGTGCAAACTCCTTATTACATACGGCATTCTAGCCCCTCCTGAACCTTCTGTGATTTCCTCTACTGTACTCCACCACCTGGCCAAATCAATATAGGGAGCTACGAGACAGGGAATTAACCAAGAAAGGGTGCCTCCCTTTTCACTGTCTCTTCCTGCAGCCAGCCAGATAGCCTTTTCTCTGACTTATTTGGGCTTAAAAGCTTTATTTTGGGTACCTTACCTAGTCCCACAAGGTACATTCTTCACCTCATCTGTCTGGAGTGTGGTCTGGAAACAGAGGAAACATAAAGTGCTAGAGATGGGCAGTGACAAAGTAACTTACGTTTCAGAATCCTAAATGCCTTTGTCCTGGAATAACCATTTGGGTTGAGCATTGCCTTCATTAAACATGATTACCCCACCTAATCCTCCTTCCTCATAGGGTTGCTAAGCCAAGCAAAGGCCCCTGCCCCAGCTGTAAGTAAACCACCACACAAACAAACTGAGTAATAATGGTTTAGTGAAGATGACACTGGATTGGGCACCTTAGGACTTATGCTTGCTTCTACCTCTTCTATTTATGGTAGGCACCGTCTATCCCCTCAGAGGGATATGTTCCAAGACCCCCAGTGGATGCTTGAAACTGGGGAGAGTACCAAACCCTATAGCACATACCTATGATAAAGTTTAATTTATAAATTAGATATAGTAAGTGATCAACAATAATAAAATAGAACAATTATAACAATATACCATCATAAAAGTTATTTGAAGGTGGTCTCTTTCTCAAAATATCTTATTGTACTCTAGTCACCTGTTTTCAGACCATAGTTTATTGTGGGTAACTGAGCCTGTGGAAAGTGAAATAATGGATAAGGGGGAGGGCTACTGTACTAGTTTTGAAACAGCAGATTACTTACTTAACCTGTCTCAGACCCTAACAGCTGCCCAGCCCATTCTCAGGATTACTACAAGACTCAAATGAGACAATGTACCTGAATGCACTTTGAACGCCACAAAGCCTGGTAAACAGCACACGAAACTTACAGGGAAAATGCCTAGCAGGTATCCCAAGACATTCTCCTGCATCAGTGTAAAGTGTAAAATCTTGTTATTCTTCTTGGCTGGACATACTTCAGAGATGGCGAATCTAACTTAGCCAGGCTTTTGATCTGCCACAACTAACCTCACTCCTATTTTAGATGTCACCTCCCCTCATTTAGTTCAACTCCTCCCCACTCACTGCAAAAATTATGTTCATATTTCTGAATTCAAATAAGAATCAGCAAAATTACTATGTTTTCTTTCCATCTAACATGGTAGCTTGTGATTTAAAACATACACACATACACCCCGACTTTTCCTTCCATATACTCAAAACAGGTTCTTCTCTGGCTTTATCTTGAAGGAATAATTCCCAGCCTCATTATATATATAAAAAATATATTTATATATATATAACATATATATATATAAAAATTATCCTTATATCGTTCTCTAGAATGGCATTTTACTCATCCAGTGGCTAAATAATTTCAAATCATGCACTAGTTAACATCCCAAATTTGCAGTCATCCAATCATACCACAGAGGACAAGCATACCTGCACAGACTTATATGATGTGATGAAAGGCAGCATGAGATGGAAACCAGGGCCGCTGGTCGAAGTCAGCAGGGCACCGCCTCTGCAGAGGAGAGGGAGAGAGAGGCAGCTTCAGTTTGGCAAGAAGGCTCTATTAGATCAATATCATGAGGGTCAACTTTCCCTTCAGCCCTATAAACACATAACAGAGAGTGACATGTGCTGGAGCCATGGCCACAGATCCCTTTCTTCCTCTCAGCTAGATCCTAATATTCTAGGAAGCCTGATGGTAAAACATAAAACCACTGTTCATGCTTTTGCAATGAGAAAAATAGGCACACAGGCTAAATGGAATAAAGACAGCAGAATCCGCTAGTGCAGTCCCAGCGCTTTGAGGGGCTGAGGTGAGAGGATTGCATGAGCTCAGGAGTTTGAGACCAACCTGTCTCAAACAGTGAGACCCTGTCTCTACAAAAAAAGAAAAGGAAAAAAATTAGCTGAGTGTGGTGGTTACATGCCTATAGTCCCAGCTACTTGGGAGACTGAGATGTAAGAATTGCTTGAGCCTGGGAGGTTGAGGCTGTAGTGAGCCATAATTGTGCCACTGCACTCCAGCTTGGGCAACAAAGTGAGACTTTGTCTTTAAAAAAAAAAAAAAAAAAAAAAGACAGCGGAATCCATGGGTATACTTAGATAACAGGCACTCTGGCCAGGCGCAGTGGCTCACGCCTGTAATCTTTGGGAAGCTGAGGTGGGTAGATTACGAGGTCAGGAGTTCAAGGCCAGGCTGGCCAACATGGTGAAACCCCGTCTCTACTAAAAATACAAAAATTAGCCAGGCATGGTGGCAGGTGCCTGTAATCCCAGCTACTTGGGAGGCTGAGGCAGAGAATTGCTTGAACCCAGGAGGCGGAGGTTGCAGCGAGCTGCTATCTTGCCACTGCACTCTAGCCTGGGCAACAGAGCGAGGCTGAGTCTCAGAAAAAAAAAAAAGAAGATGAAGTCTGTTTTACTTTGTCATATCTGTTGGGCTTGTGGCAATCCAATAGGGCAGTTAAGTCCAGTAATGTGGTTATCAACTACCTGCACTAATGCTGGAGTCCACTGACATGACCAACCAAAAGAATAATTTGAAGTACTTTATAAGTAATTGAAATATATGTTTTGGCAATAGAGTTACCTTTCTAATCAAGTTATATGTAAATGATAAAGTTAAAAGCCTTTTTGGGGAACATGTAAGCAGATCATGGGGAGAAAGAATTAAAGGAGAGAGGAATTCCAGAGTTTTAGAACTTGCTGTTAGCAATCCAGAAATAAGCATCACAACAGCACATATAAGAAGAGTTCACAAAGACATAAAGCAAAAAACTTGGTCATGGAGATTATTAAAAAGAAAGCAACCCGACTTATAAGTGCTTCTTTGCTTTATATTATGCAAAGAATTAAAAAAAAACCAATAAAACAAACAGTGACATAATGGGCTCCTAAATTTATTGTAGGAACCACTATCCTAAGGCTTGCTTTGACTGACATAAGTCAACCTGCAGGCTCTTTCATTTTTCGTGAAATGTTAATATTATTTTAATTTAGTTTTAGAGACAGGGTTTTGCTCTGTCACCCAGGCTGGAGTGCAGTGGTGTGATCATAGCTCACTGCAGCCTCAAACGCCTGGGCTCAAGTGATCCTCCCACTTCAGCCTCTCCAATAACTGGGATTACAGGCACATGCCACCATGCTCGGCTAATTTTTTACTTTTTGTAGAGATGGGCTCTCACTATGTTGCTCAGGCTGGTCTCAATCTCCTGGGCTCAGGTGATCCTCTCACCTTAGTCTCCTGAGTAACTAGGGCTACGTGTGCGTGACACAGAGTCGGCTAATTAAATTTTTTTATTTTTATTTTTTAGAGATAGGGTCTCACTATATTACCCAGGCTGGCTGAAATGTTAATTTCAAAAGAGTATCCTAAATTAGCAGAGTAGGCTACCTTCTCAAGTTGCCATCAAGAACTGGGACTCAGCTGGCTTTTGTAAAGGTAACCTAGCAGTGTAGAGCTAAGACTGCCAGAGGGATGTAGGAGAAAACAGTATTTTAGGGATGATCTGTGAGGAGCACCAGTTTCCTTTAGATTTTGCCTCTAAATCTATATAAACATTTATTAATCACCACCCATGGCATCATCTTGGACTACTAAGCGAAGTTCTAAATTTACATATATGTGTGTGTGTGTATTCTCTTTTCCATGGTTACTGACATAAAAAGCTCAATCTGAAAAGACTCCCCTGTTCAAGGAAATATAAACAGAGATGTTCAGCAGTATCTGCTAGGAAAGCAGTGACCAGGAAAGGGAGCTATTTAACAGAAGTTGCCGACTTCTCCCTGTCTCTGTCTTACCTGTAATATACCCCAATATGTCCCTCTTCTATCTTGTGCACAGCTGAGAAGAGAGATGCACACAAGAAACTGGAAGCCACAGCCACAACTGCTCCCAACTGAGCCATCAGTGAGCCTTTATCCTAGGGAAAAGACACGGGAAAATGTGTGTGGTCCAACGTGCAGGAGAAAAGGCCGCAACAGCCAGAGGACCTCACCAAGCTGAGCTCCCTGCGAGTGACTCATTCAGCCTGGTGTCGTGTGAACACAAGGCTAGATCTACAACTCGCTTCCTCCTCGTTCTCAGTCAACGTTCCCCTTTTCTCAACTGTGAAATCAGGGCCCCCACCGCACTGAGGAAGCACTGGCTCCGGATACAGCCGCTGCTCAAGGGAGAACCCGTGCCAGCTGGGTAGGGTTCAGAACACAGCCTCATCTTCCTGTGAACACGAATGTGCTGTCACTGAATCTTTCATACTAGTAGTAGGGAAGAGAGGCAGCTGCAGTACTTTGGCCCAAATTACAGAGGATGCCAAATGACAGGCAGTTGTGGCTATGTAATTCTGGTCAGAGCCTCCCACTCCTAATTGCCTGCAGTTTCAAGGGAAACCATTATTTACTCCTTTCAGATGCTGGAGTGGCAGAGCCAGCAGGCGAGCCGAGTTTCAAGGTAGGATTCGCTGGCCTCGCATCCACCTTCCCAGTTATTCCTTTGGCCCTAAACAGGACAGGGCTCTGAACAAGCCTGAAGCCACACTCCCCCCGATATACTTTGGCACTCTGCACCTGACAGATCCCCAAGCCCGTGGTCAGAGAGAAAGGCAATGTCCAAAACTGCGAGCCTCTGGGCTCCTGGGTCCAACCGCGTTCAGGCACCAGGACGCGGAGGAGTTGGATCCTGAACACTGAATAATCTGGAACTACGGTGACTGACTGCAAAGTTCAGCTGTGCGTGCGTGGGCCCGTGAACGCAGGGCGTGGATTCTGCCTCCCAGGTCTAACGTAACCGGGGCGCGGACATCTGCGAGGCGCTTATTTTACCGTGGCGGCCTCCGGCTAGCAATCTGCAGTTGCGTCCTTTCCTGCCAGTGCCCTTCCCTCCCCGAAGTCACTCGCGCCCCTTCCCCGCCCCGTTCCGAGAGAGGGTCAAGCGCCCTGGGCTGGGGCTGCGGCTCCAATAGCCTCCGCTCCGTCCCCCTGCGGCTCTCAAGGAGGGGACGCGACAGAAAAGGGTTTCTGTGTCTCTCCAGGAGCGGGCCGGCGGAGGGAGAGAAGCTGCTGGGACTGAGGCTCCCGAGGGTGATGGGTCAGCCCCGACCCGGAGCTGCAGCTAGGCCCAGCGCGCGCACGAAGGGGCGGGGGCCGCGTACCAGGCTGTCCCTGCAGGCGCTCCGTACTCGTCCGAGCCCACGAGCAAGAAAACCGTCACACCCCTCAGCACGCGACTTCCTTCTGGGCCGTCGCTTCGATGACGCCATCAGTTCACGCGAGAAGACCACACCCCCGCCCCGCGCTCGCTCTGCGCCCCGCCCCTCGCGCTTCCAGCGGTCAATGGCCGCAGCTGGCCGCCAGGGATCGCCCGCGACTTGGTCCGTGCGGTCCTGGACCTCTGTCTCGAGTGTCCGGCCTGGGGCTGGGGATGAGGGCGGTGTAGGTGGGAGCGCCCCGAGAGCGAGCGGCAGGACGCGCGTGACCCGGAGTACTGAGACCCAGGGCGTCCTTTTCCAAGGCGTTGACTTTGGGGATTGCTTCTGATTTCCCTCTGCATTAGGCCGAACCTGGTTCGTTTTGTTTTTTTTTAGAGACAGAGTCTCGCTCTTTTGCCCAGGCTGGAGTGCAGTGGCACGATCATAGCTCACTACAGCCTCGAACTCCTGGGCTCAAGCGATCCTCCCATCTCAGCCTCCTGAGTAGCTGGGACAACAGGTGCGCGCCAGGACACTTGACAATTTTATTTTTAGTAAAGACAGGGTCTCGGTATGTCGGGTCTCAAACTCTGGCTTCAAGCAATCCTCCTGCCTCGGCCTTCCAAACTGCTGAGATTACAGGTGTGAGCCACCATGCGCTGCCTTTTTTTTTTTTTTCCCGCCTTGATAAACTACTAGCGAGTTGTAACTGTTTGTTTTCCTATAGCACAGCTGAAATGAAACAGTCTTTTCAGTGTACAGATTAGCATCATTACCTCACTAATCAAAAATCCCTACCTTGAGTTCTTTATATTTTTCTGGGAGCTTTGGCCATTGCGACCCTGCAACACCACAAAGTATATTAACAAGGAATTATTCTAATTTTAATGAACGGAATCTAAGAAGTTCAGCGAGGTTCAAGGGTAAAAGCCAAGGAAAGCTTCCTTTGTGTTTCCTTAATATCTTGAGTTCATTGCTTTTTTAACTCCTGCCACAGTGCACAGCGGCTTGTGCACTTCGTCTTTCTAGATAAACTGTATGTTCCCGGGAGAGCAGAGACTGACCTTCCTTCCGCACCCCCGGGCCTTAGGTGCCCAGTAAATACAGACTGAAGGCAAACGTGGGACCAGGCCTGGAATCCAGACTTTGTGTCTCCTAGGCTAAGGGCCTCACGTTTTCCTCAACCTGCCCTACTCACCAACATCACATTGGGGCATTTCTAATTCAGCCACTGAAGTTATTAGTATTTTGTTTGCAGAAAAGAAAGAGTCCACTTAATTATAGCCTTCAGTAAAAGAAAAACTTTTACACCGGGAAGATGGCAAGCCGGTGGTGTTAGACAGATTTAAGACTCAGGAAAAGGGAAGTGTGGTTTTTTCCAGGCATGCCTGCTTGGGATTGGCCCGTTTACCTTTCCTGGGTTTGCTCTGGGTGTTGGGATGTTTCAGCATTACATAGTGAAGCCCACACGAGGGTTACATGGTGCTGTCTGGGAGCTCTGTGCCCATTTCCATAAATGAAGACCTTTCCTCTCCGTACTCTATTCCTGCATCCCCCACTCCAAACAGACACAGCTGGCCAATCTCTTGATCAATCCTATCAGAACCTGAGTTTTTTCTCTCCATGTTCAGTGATATAACTCAGCTGGGCATACTTAATACATGTTTATTTAATAGTTGAGTAAGAAAAATGGAAATATTAGGGTTCATTAACCCATGAAATAGGGGCTAGCCTGCAGCATCAAGTATTTGAATTACTTGTAATTTAAGAATTTCCTTTAACCAACCTCTGGCAACCCCCGACTCCCCTCCCCTTCCCATAAATATGTACTATTATTATGTGTCAATTAAAAATAATAAAAATTTCCTCACATTAAACTTTGGAGTGAATTGTGGGTAGAAGTTTTGGGATTTTGTTCTTAGGAGTCATTTTACCAGGCCTGAGTTATTTAGTTGTGGACCTGCCTAAAGGCGGGGGGGTAGACTTCATGATGTACGAGTACATGATGATCTAGTACTTCTGAAAATCTCTTTCTTAAGAGACCTGTGATTTTTATGTTACCCAGAAGATGGATTTGTGATGATTTGTTTAACAAAAATGTTTACAATTTCTTTCCCTCCCTCCCTCCCTCCCTCCCTCCCTTCCTTGTCTTGCTCTGTCACCCAGGCTGGAGTGCAATGGCACGATCTCAGCTCTGCAACCTTTGCCTCCCGGGTTCAAGCGATTCTCTTGCCTCAGCCTGCTGAGTAGCTGGGACTACAGACGCATGCCGCCACGACTGGCTAATTTTTGTATTTTTAGTAGAGATGGGGTTTCACCATGTTGGTCAGGCTGGTCTTGAACTCCTGACATCAAGTGATCCACATGCGTTGGGCTCCCAAAGTGCTGGAATTACAGGCGTGAACCACCGCGCCTGGCTAAAATTTTATTTTTTAAAAAATCTCGCAGTATAGAGTAGTGATTTAGCTCAGATACTCCACAGTCAGGCTGCCTTGTTTAAATCCTGGAGCCTGCCTCTTAGTAGTTCTGTAACATTGGAAAAATTATCTGTGCCTCAGTTTCTTCATCTGTAAAATTAAAGTAATAACGGTATGAAACTTATAGGACTGTTGTGAAAAGCATACACAACATTTGGTATATTTTAAGTGTTCACCAAGTATTAGCTGTTGCTGTTTTAAATAGCAAATTCCCTTAATGTGTTCTTGCATGTTTGTGGGTTATTATTGCAGATTATTAATGTGACACAGGGTGAGAGAATGATAAACTTTAAGTTGAATGGTATTAAATAATAACCAAATGAAGGTTTATCAGAAGAAGAGATAAAGGCTTCTGAAATTATACCTCAACGGATATTTACAATACAGATTTCATAAAGCTTTATTGAATACTGTCTATGTATCAGCCCCAGTACCTTACTTTTTCTCATTTTATGTAATCTTTAGGTCAGCGCTTTGAGTTCAACTCCATTTTAGAGGAGAAAGTTGAAGCTTAGAGAAATTAAGAGATTGTCTAAGATCACGAAGATGATAAATTGCAAAGGCAGAGTTCAAATGATCCCAAGTCTATTTCTTTTTTATACTGAATAAGTTAGAAAATGATTCAATTTCACACACACACACACACACACACACACACACACCATATTTATTTCACATGGAACCTTTCAGGAATGTAGATCAGTGGTCAGAAATTGTGAGACTTTTCTAATTAAATTGGGCCAGTTCATTTTGCAGTTGTAGGTTGAAGCAGGTTAAAAAATACTCTCACCTAGCAATCTATAGTTTTCTATTTCTATTGCTGTTTGTTGGGTCCTCTTATCAAGAAAATTGTTAGTGAGAGTGTCATTCCAAAGAGAGAACAGACCCCTTCTTTCACAGGGGATTTTTAAGTCAATTTCACAATTAGACTTTTTAAGTCAATAACCAGGTTAACTCCAAAGGATTCAGGCAACTCTTAAAATCTTTTGCTTCAGTTCAGTTCAGTATCACAAGAGTAGAAGTTGCTGGAAAAAGTTTCTGTTTGATTTAAAGCTTATCTTTTTTACTTTAGGCTCTAAAACACGGAATAGAAATAATCTTTTAGAATGTTTGATTCCAGTAAGATTTTGGTGAGCTTATGGGAAGAGGAATGAACTATATCCTTAGTTATTAAGGGGGCTCAGACATTTTTCCTCTTTTCTTTTTTTCCAATTGCAAAAACCCAGGATTGGTGCCTTCTGAGAACAAAAGCATATTTGCCTGGGGCCAATGATATTTCTTCAAGGCAATTGGATAAAGGGATCAAAGAGCCATCAGGAAAAAAATTGAGTTGAAAGTCAGCTAGAAGGCACCTAAAGGTCATTTTGTGATTACATGTTTTTATAGCTTTATTGAGATATAATCGACATATAATAAACTGTTCATAAAGTCTACAATTTACGTTTTGACTTGCAAACACCTGTGAAGCCATTACCACAATCAGTATGATGAACACATGCATCATGGCTCCAAATTTCCTCATGCCTCTTTGTAATTTCTCCATCTTACACCCCTTTGGGACACCCCCTTTTCGATTCTCAAAAGACCACTGATCTGCTTTTGCCACTCTAGTGTGCATTTTGTAGAATTTTATATGCATGGAATTGTACAGTATGTACCCTTTTTAGGAGGGGAGGGTCTGGCTTTTTTGAAAACCCAGAATAATTATTTTGAGATTCATCCATGTTGTTGAGTCTATCAAGAGTTCATTCCGCCGGGCGCGGTGGCTCAAGCCTGTAATCCCAGCACTTTGGGAGGCCGAGACGGGCGGATCACGAGGTCAGGAGATCGAGACCATCCTGGCTAACA